GTGCGGCTATTGCTAAGTTCATGGGTACTGGTGCTGCTGGTGCCGGTGCCGCTGGTGCCGCTGGTGCAGCTGGCGCTGCAGGTGCTACTGGTGCCAACGCTGCTGGTGCCAATGCTGCTGGTGCCAATGCTGCTGGTGCCAATGCTGCTGGTGCCAATGCTGCTGGTGCCAATGCTGCTGGTGCCAATGCTGGTGGTGCCAATGCTGCTGGTGCCAATGCTGGTGGTGCCGGTGGCGCTGCTGGAGGTCTCGCTGGTCTCCTTGGTGGCCTCGGTGGCAACAAGCGTGGTCTCCTCGATGCCCTCACCGGCGGCGCTGGCGGTGCTGGCGGTGCCGGTGCAGGCACCAAGACCCCTAAGGGAACCACCGAACAGGGTGTCGCTGCCGCTGCTGGCTCTGGTGCGTCCACTGGTCTCCCCACCACCGCCGACGATGGCACAATCACCATGACCTTCCACCAAGTCAACCAGGACGGTGCCGGTCCTCTCACTGCCCAAATCGATGCCACCTCCGGCGGTACCGACCCCGCTGCCTTCCAGGACGCCCAGGTCACCCAGAACGTTCCTGGTATCGGTATCGGAGGTCTGTCTGCTGCCTCCACCACCGACTTCCCCGTCAAGGTCCAGATGCCCGCTGGCATGACCTGCCAGGGTACCGCTGGAGGTGCCTCCAACGTCTGCGTCGTCCGCATGCAAAACGCAGCTCTCGCCGGTCCCTTTGGTGGCTCCGCTGCCTTCACTCAGAGCGCTGCGGCCAAGAAGAGGGCTGTCGAGTACAACCTCCGCAAGCGCCACATGGCCCGTGGTATCCTCGGAAAGCCCGAGTAAGCTCGTCAATATATTCAGTCTTATTGGATATGAGGTGGTGTGTATGTGAGAAGAGAGAGAGAGGGATGTCCTTAATATAATAAGAAGAGCTTGGAAAGAGGACGGGGAACAGAAGAAGAGATAAGGGAAAAAAAGAGATGGAATGATCAACACTTCGATAATTGAATTTTGCTGGGCAATCTTCAACTATCAAGATTATCAGGTAAATTGGTGCGGTGCATGATTTTTTCCCTTCTTTTATTTACATCAAGATTTTTTCCTTAAGTCTTGGTGTATATAATTGACCTTATCATACGCTCTTTTTTCCTTTTTTACTTGAGTTGATTGTTTCGCATCAGTCTCTTTTCTTTTACAAGTCTTTTCCTTTGTTTGGATTTTAATTGGAGGGATGGATGGTGGGGAAGGGAAAGTTGTATGAAGGGGGTTTTGCCTGCACGGGTTTCTCTGGGCTGCCCCTGGCCGCGAACACATTTTTTAATAAGAGAGAAGCAATTGTATATAGATGAATGAATAGTGAGTCTGGTTTAAAATCTTTGCATCCTTTGGTTTTGAGTGAGAATGAGTAGGTGAAGAGGGTGTTGTCTGTGGGTCAGAGTAGGATTTTGACAGAAGATCTGGGTGAGGTTAGTGGTCGTGTTTGGTTGCTGAAATGGTTGTGTATTGAAAGAAGGAGAAACGATGTGTCATGTCAAAACTAAGTGGGCCTGACGCGTGCAAGAAGTGTACGCGAACTTGATCTTTACTCACCTTCATGCAATTTTGCATTTAATATACATACATACATCATTCAAACAGGAGCACCTTGTGAGTAACCTACAGTGTCCATCGCTGTGTTGACAGGAGATGATCCGTCAAGAATGAGTTACAAAAAAAAAGCTACGCAAAGCAAGTTGAGGTGATGCAGATTAAGTCAACAAGTGACATGTTTTGTTGCTTGTTGCATCTTTACCCTAGATGCTGATCTTGAATTGAATGTGATGCAGAGTAGCTAAAAGTCGCAGATATTATTGATAAATCTGTTGGTATTTTTTCGTACTGTTGCAGATATCTTATTTACCAGAACGAGTGTGAGAAAGGCATGACCTGCTCACGGTATAGAAGTACTGGAGTATACTAGTTCTGTTGTGAGATATGTGCTAAGCATCCCACAGTTTTGCACAGAGGAAACCCATGATTGACAAAAGCTGCAGAGAATGAAAGTATGCAGCCATATGAGATCTACTCAATGCATATTTTACAGTCCTTTTGGGGCGAGGACTGCGCACAGTGGTGCAGTGTTCGTTAGTCGGACATTCTAAAATCTCGCAAATGTTGCTCCACCGAACACTTCCTGGACAGGCAAAATGATCACTCTCGAAATGGACCGACCGGCATAATCAAGTGCAACCGTCAGATGATGACTGACAAGAAAATGCCACTGCGCCGTCTATCGCGGTATATCAAAAGGGGAATAAGACCGCAGTGAGATGAGCGCAACCAAATGTCATGCTCGTTGAATCCGGCGCTGTGCATTTGTCGATCGGAGAAAGCAAAGCCAGTGCAATACATGCCTCTCCATGCGCCTTCCTTGCTCGTCTTATAATATCCTTGGAGCCCAACAAAGGCGATATTGTCAACACCACCGCATCTCATCATCATCAAACGCATACTCATTCCCCACAATTAACACAAAGTGAATAAGAAAACTTTGCGACCTAGATGAGGTGTGTGGTTAAGATCAACTTGCTATAATGAACAGACGGCCCTTTTTTTCTCGTCTAAGCGGTCCGATTGCGAAGGGCCGACCACAATGACCCGTCTGTAAATTTGGCTGTGGCATGTCGCGTTTGACGTCAGATGGTATGGGGGAATGTGCAAGAGATCGAAGATGACCTGTGCCATGATAAATTCTAGCGGGTTGTTATTTACTTTTCAAGGAATAGAGCCGGAACATGGGGCTGGGGTGGCTGGCGTTCCGGTCCACTTGATTTGCTGTTTCTGGTAGGTACCTAGGTATCATACCATGTTGCCAGAGATCAGGTCTTGCTCATGATTTTATTATTGATTTCGATCTTGATTTCTTGAGCATGAAGTCGAACAGAGAGGCTGTGCACTCCATAGCCGAGGTAAGCTTATGCGAAAACGCGTGTTCACATTTTGTCTAGCTTTTCTGCGCAGTAGCGTGAGTAAGAGGTCCGGAAATTGCAAGAATCTCACCTCAATGGCTCGACTTGTTGATATTCATCTCTACAGAATATGCCACGAACTGCGCCAAGTCGCAGTGTTCATTGAAAAGGACAACCTACTCGAGTCCTGACAGTGAGAGGTGATGAGCGCCGCGGGGAATGTGACCGGACCAACCACGCAAGGCTGCATTGTGTGCCGATAAAATGTAGATGAGCCGCTATGCAACTAATCGACGCCCCGGCGTATACCGAGAGCGTATCCATGTCACGCTGCATACGCAAGCAGTTTCGGGGGACAACTAGGTGTAGCTGTACCACAATGTCTTGCAGATCTTGTAATGGAGAGTACAGCTGTGCATTGATCAAGGATGTAGGGCGTTGGATGGGACACCATGTCGGTGAGGGCAGACTAATCCCTACACCTCCAGTCATGATATGCGCATCAATCGCGGGGTGCCAGGTGGTGCAAATGTGGAGATGCGAAAGTCAGTCTTCGATACGCGTCCGCGGCCGTTTAGTGTGGAGAAAAACATCCCAGGACGACCACGAGGCCATTGCTGGCCCACAGTGATCACGGGAAAGCTGTTGAACTTGTATGGATGATTTTAGCATGAGTGAGCGGCATGGCGGGGTTGTGTGCAGTAGAGAGGTTGCGGCTGGCGCGAGTGCAGATGGACAAGTTTACCATGTCTTTTTTTCTGATTCATGCTGTATCCTTCACCAAAACCAGCAGGCGATTTCGGAACGGCTAGTCCAAAGGAGTTTAGCGACGCACTGACGCTCCCGCACACCCTTGCGATCGATGGACAACGACTTCTGACGTATGTCGTTCCCTCCAGAGTCGTCATCTTGACTTTTCGATCTCAGCATCCCGCTGCTTACACATTTACTACACACGCGACATGTGGGGAGAGATTGTCGCTTTTGAAACAGCCTACTGAGTGCCTAGAGGAGAAAAAAGACAGACTACTGGAGACAAGCCATAGGCGAACGCAAATGTGTGGAACACGCACCCATTTTCTTGATTGCAAGGAATCCGGCAGCAGGCATTGCCAGCATTGCGCTGCAGTGGCGCCATGAGCCGTTGCGATAGAGCACGCTGAGCGGTAGGATCTTTCAAGCACGAGCGGTGAGAGGACAGAGACGGCAAATGAACGGCTCCATGCATGGTGTTGCAATTTAGCAACATGCAGCACGCGGCTCAAGTCGCTAGCGTATGCTAAACTAGGCGTCGAACTGCGGAAGAGATGGAACGGAAGGTTGAGACGAGTAGTCGGCGACAGGCGGCCGGTCACTGAGCGGCATGGACACCTACCCAGGGTGCTAACAAGGCCAATGCCGGAGTACTATGCTCCAATCCATTCGAGCGAAGCTAGCAAACTTGCCGTATCAAGACACGAAGCCATCGCAACACCATACCGCAGCGTTTACGACTCAGTACGCGCTGTACGCACAACAGGGGCATAGTTGGCAATTCTCCCGTCGACTAAATCCTCAACATATGTGGCGAATGAGTGATGAGCACACCAAAAGGAACCGCGATAAGATCTCCATGACCCTGATCTTCAACTTAGTCATTGAAATCCGGCTCGGCATCTCACGGACTTGACCATCAGACATCTTGGGATGCTGGGTTGCGACTCGTTGATGGAACATGTGATGCAGCGCACTCTTCATCCACCACGATGAAATTGCCTCAACTCCATCCAAGTGTCTTGGTAGACGGTCTTATCCTACCTATCAAGCGCTACGACACCGGAATTCATCTCACCCTGCATTTCGACTGTGGCGCACAAGCCAACCTCCCCACATTCATGGCATTCTTCGGCACCCCTGTTCCGTGACGGAAGGGAGGGGGGCGAACAACACACCATGGCAACGCTGGTACCAACAACGACAGCACGGCTAACCAATCGGGCTATGCTGTTATCAAGGTACACACCATCAAGAGATGCAGGGACGGGCGGTTGCCATATCTCGCGAGAAAAGGAACGCGTCCGTTCAGTCCTTTGTCATTGGTTCTCGAGATTGCCTGTGCATCGCCTGTGCAAAGACAGACCAACTGTATCTGTATGACTCAAAAGGGGAAATCGGAGCAATGGTTTGGTCCCTTGATCATACGAGGATGCAGAGGACACATGTCCGCGCCGTTCTATGCCAATGTTTGCGAATGCTCGGAACCGTCCTAGCGCTCTTGGACAAGACATCATGCACAACGATGTCGTTGTGCATTCCGCCTACCCCTCCCCTTTCACCGGGCGAATCAAGCAAGCGTATCCATGCCACACGTATCTTTTGCGGTTTGAATCCCATCCGGCGGCATTTGTGGTTTGTTTTCATATCGGGCGAATACGTACATACCACGTACCGTTCGAAGCCCCCACACGTACGACTTCTCCCTGTCTCGTCCAAAAGCAGTGAACACGGCATGAATATCTCTTACATAGCAGGCTATATCCCAGCCGTGATATGGAACTGGGGGGTTAAGAGTGAAATTGCATGAAATTCGGTCAACGGCCCTTTTTCCCCAGTTTGGTCTTTGATATTCCGCTTTAGGAGTGGAATCGGCGCACGATTGGTGGCTGTCCAGCTCGCTCTGTGACTTGTCTGTTTGCAAAAAAAGAATAAAATCAATCCATATTAAATAAACCCAGCAAGACTTTGCCAATAAGATAAACAGAGACGATGTGAGCCGAGTTGAGCAAATCAGAGAAGAGTAACACATGCACTGCACGTATTACCGCTATACGCGAGACTAGAGTGCGCACCGTGCATACCTGCATCCCCCTACTGTACGCGATCGTGAAGCGCAACAAAGGGAAAAAACCCCTTCAGGGTCCGCTCTAATCCCCATTCTTTTTTGTCCTCCTGCTCGTGCACGTCATTCATTTCATTTCCCTTTTTTTTCTCCTCGGTTGCGCTCTATACGAACGGGGGGAAGGGAAGGGAAGGGAAGGGAAGGGAAGGGAAGGGAAGGGAAGGGAAGGGAAGGGAAGGGAGGGTTGTGTTCGTGAAAGGAAACATCGAAACTTTAACGCGTTACCCGCCCCCCTCTCATCACAACGTTGAAACTTACGCATGTATCTAGCCGGTAACATTCACGTTTTCTAAAAACACACCCACCCACACACGTACGGAGATACATAGAACAAACACACACGTGCCACAAAACTATCATCAAACTATAACTAGTATAATCCTTCAAAACAAGGAACAAGCGGTAATAAAATCCACATCTGTATACGAAGAATACATAACACCAAGCCCAAACGCGAAAAATCATGATTTACTTACCAACCCACCTTAAAATTACTCACTCAAACACACACGCTTTCATTTCGGCCAAGCAAAGAAAACCACCCGCGACAGCGGCACACACACACACACCCCTCTCTCTACTTCGGCTCCCAAAGGATCTCCCCGTAGGATTCTTCAGCACGAGCCCAGCTTATCACCTGTACAATTGTGGAATTCGGCGTATGTGTGTGTGCAGCCACCCCCCACCCCTCCAACCCTCCTCTTCTTCTTCATGTTTTCCAGTCAAACTACTTTACACGTGTGAAATATATGTCTACGAAACAGGAAGTGGGTTAGAAGATGGGGGAAGAAAAGAGGAGGAGGGAGGACCAAGGCAAGCCTACTAGCAAAGCAAAAAAAAAGGAATAGTAGCACACAACCTTTTAAGTGGATACCCTTAACCTGCTGATCGGGATTTCAAAAGGGTAGGGTTAGTTTTTGCATGGCGCTGCGGTGCGTGCGTTGGGTGCGGCGGTTGATTTCAGAGTTTCATGTGGGTATTCTTTTTGGCTTGGTTCTCTTTGGGGCTTTACCTTTTGCTTACTCGTTGCTGCGCGTGCTGATGCGAATGCTTGCTGCAAAGGTGATGATGGGCGTAGTTAGTGGATACAGACATGCGCTTGAGCTGTGGAGAGGGGAAGTCGCAGGGGGGAGAGATGGGGCCCGGAAACGGGTAGCGCGGCAAGGCGATTCACGTGAGTGGGACTGTTTTCTGGTGGTGGGTGGTGGGTGGTGTGCATGGGTTGTTGAGACAAGGTTTCAAGGACATTTGGGTTGTGAGCGGGGAGTGTGATGTGTGGCGAATAATGTTTGTTGGGGGTGTGACTGACTAGACATGTGTATGTTTCACTGTAGATAGATTAGTTTGGGACATGGAGGCAGCAGCATATCTGAAAACGGCATTTCAATAATAGAGTCTTGTTTTGGAAGTGTGCAAGTTTTGAATTCACAAGCTATGTATGTATAGAGAAGAGATAAAAAAAAAGACCCGTCATCTGTCCAGCTCGACACTGATGATAGTGGAGCGCTTGCGGAGTGAAGCTAAGGACAGGCGAGATGCCGTACATGCTTTGGGGCAAAAAATAACAGTAACACTGGTTTGGGTATTCGACAAAAGGAAAAGCGACCGATGCCACGCTCCAGCACTTGGAGGTGATGAGACAAGGAGAATTTCTGCGCGCGTCCATGCTCTAAAAGAATGAGACCGTTTCCACAACATTCCTTCTATGGTGTTGTTGTATCTGACGTGATTCCTTGTTATTTCTGTCTTATTTTCGTGGATGAGTGTGGTGATGAACGCCGTGAATGCTCCTTGCCATGGCCGTATGAGAACAGTAAAAACTCCGGGTGTGTAACCAAAGGAAAGGCGTGTAGGGTAATCACTTGTTTTGTGTTGATGCTTAGGCAACTTTTGTATAGACGGTGCGGGTTGGTGATAGTGGTAAAATCATCTGCCGCCGACGGAGGTGGTCCTGCCGGGAGAGTACTCGCCTCGACGACGAGCCTCCTCACGAATGAACTTTTCAACGTGCTGGTCGGCCTCGGCTCGGCTTACACCAGCTGTGAGGTAGCCGCCGACCTCATCCTCGAGCTCTAGGGGTGTGACGGCTCCAGGGCTAGCTAGAGGCTCAAGACGAGGGCTGGTTGGCCTGGGTCCAAAGCCCTTGTGCTGACGGCTAGTGTTGGCGAGAAGCTGCTGCTGGTAGAGGTACATTTGTCTTTGGACCTCAAATTGCCTGTTGGATGATCGAGGAGAGGCGGGCGAGTGCGGGCTGTCGGGACCAGCGATTGGTGTGTTTGCTTGGCTGGAGTGGCTGGAGCTTTGGGAAGAGGCATAGTTGGCGGGATGGAAGCGAGGCAGCGAGGGAAGCCTTAAATGGGCAGCAGGACCATGGTTGCTAGACTGACGCGGGTTCAGAGCTGGCCGGCGTCGAGCCTGGGAGGGGATGTCGAGAGGTTGGGACCTGGGGGACAGAGGAGAACTGATGGCAGGCATGGTGCGGTCAGAGGATCGTTGCATATTCTGGTGGTGGTGGTGGTGGTGGTGATGGGAGTGGTGAGAGGTGGTGTCGGATTTGAAGATGACTCGCGAAAGAGAGGGCGACGCTGGCGGCGATCTCATATGATGGGGTGGCGAGAGGACCTCGTCTGACCTTTTTGAACAAAGGAGACGGGTTGGCTGGATTGATATACCAACGGTCTTCCCAAATGGTAGTGGTGGATGTGGAGGAGAGTAGCGCAGTGCCGAGGGGAAACGAGGCACAGGCAGCGGCGGTGACCAATATATGTAGGCATATGGATGTATTTGGTAGTGGGAGGGTCCAGCAGGCGTCGGGGATGGTAGCCGATGTTAATGGCATAGTAGGGCGGTGATCTTCCGCTTGGAGGCGCCGTCGTGCGGTAATCGTGCCTGAGAGGGTTGCAGGGTACAGGGCCGCCGTGTGGAGCCCGTTTCAATAATGGTGGCTCGCACCCGCCAAGGGAGGTGGTGCTGGGGCTGCTGGGGCTGCTGGCGACGGCCAATCTCAGCGAGTGGGAAGGGAACAGGACCCGGCGTGTTGGCGGTGCGTGGATAGCTACGGCTATGGCTACGGCTACGTGGGCATGACTATCTCGTCATGCAGAATGGGTGGCCCTGGTTTGCCGATGTGCATGGCCATGATGGTGGAGGGCGGGGCGTTTTTTTCCGTCGGTGGTGGTGAATGTTCCTTGCCTTGTGCACCATGGGCTTTGATGACGCAGTGCAACAAGAACAAGAATACCGGCTGCCCTCTCCAACCCCAATGCCAGCCCCGGCGCTAAACGCGTTGTGCGAAGACGCCATGGCCAAACCTGAATTCCAATTTGCCCTGCAGCGCGGGGGGCCCTGCGTGTGCGCGCCCGTTGCAGTCCTGCCCATCGGGGGCTGCTCGAATGTGCGCTGTTCTGTTCTGTTCTGTTGCGCTCTGCCGTGCCGTGTCGTGGCGCATATCGGCGTGTATGTGTGGTGTGGGTGGTGTACATACATATGTACTATGTACATAGTAGACGGAGAAAACGCCCGCAAGACACAACACCACACCACACCACATCAGCGCCAGTTCACCATCGTGACCCTACTAGGCATACGCGTCGGTGTAGGCGCTGTAGGTGTAGTGCAGTGTAGTGTCGTGTAGTGCCGTGTGCCAGCGACGCCACACATCTTCGACCCAATTCGCGGCAACCATCGATCGAGATCCAAGACGCGTCTTTCCCCTCAAGCCCCCCCGAACTTCACCCCGTACTTCACCGAGTGGCAAGCCATCCGTCTCCATGTCCAACGTCCAGATGCGCCTCGACTGGTAGTTGGTTCTAGACAAAACTCCATGGATCTTCTAGCACTCTCCCTAGCTACTCGCTATGACGATGAACTAGAATTCCCCCTCTTGTGCCGTTAGACCACCACCCATAGAAACATCGCGGCTTTTCGGTCCGCCCCTAGATGCCGTCATCAACTTCACTCACACTTTACAGCATGCACTCCGCCATGTACCTGTACACGTGCAAGACACCGACATTCCATGCAGGGACAAGCAGTCTAGCTCAAAATCCGCTTACCTGTGCGTGTACCACTGTATCCAGCAACGGCTAACGTTCCGCTACCTGCTTGTGCTCACTTCCCACACTGCACCCGGCGACCCGAACCACCCTACAAAGTCCGTCCACCGCCTCTCTACTAGCCAAAACTACTGTGGCATGACGCCTCCAGTGACGTTGGAAGAGCTAATTACCCCACGTTTCCAAACTCTCTACACAACAACAATGACGGCTGCAGGGTGCGGGACAAGACACGCCAATCTTGACAAGACACATGACCCTCTCACTGCATGCAACAAAGAAAAAAGCAACAAAGGTTTCCCATCCAACGTGCGTGTCAGTCATGGTGCCGTGAATTTGTTGGATTTGCTCGTGTGCAACTGCCTCTTCTCTATCCCCTCGCTCCAAGCTTCTCTAGAGCACGCACGCCCTGTTCTTCCCACTCCGCCTTTGTTATCCACATGTTTTCCTTGTCTGCCATGATGTTTGCCAGCACAGCACCTCCCAAGAAGACCATGTGCCTTCGCCGAGGCGGGTCCTCGATGCGCACCTTGAATTTCTACACAAGTGTTAGTGCCAGTGACCCCAACAATTAATCCGTTACTCACGTTGAGTCGCTCTGGGTTTCCGCCTAGAACCTTGGTGAGCCACAGCTGCTTCAGCTCCTTCTCCAACCGACTGGGCAGACCCGGGTACATGCTGCTTCCACCACTCAGCACAATGGCCTTGTACAGACTGCTTCGCACATCCACATCGGCCGACTGGATCGTGTTGAACAGGAACTCGGCGATACCGGGCTGTTCCACATCCACAAGGTGAGGCTGGAACAGACATTCAGGGGCCTCGAAACGCTCACTGCCCACTCGGATTACTCGACCGTCCGGAAGAGTGTATGACTCCACCAGCACTGTTGTGTCTTCGCTGAGGCGCTGGTCCAACTCGAGGTCATATGATACGTAGCAGAGCTTCTCTTTGATTTGTCGCACCGTTTCGAAGTCGGCGGTTCGGTTCAGTGCGTATCCCCTCCGTAGAAGGAGCGCGATGAGATTGCGGGTCACATCACGTCCGGCGACATCAAGACGTCGAGTGAGGTGGTTGAGCACGGTGCTCTCGTAGACGGGAACAATATGTGTAACACCATCTCCTGAATCAACGACTACACCAGATGAGAGACCCTGTGCATATAGAGCCAGCACAGCCTGGATAGCCACGTAGACACCACCAAAGTTGTAACGCTCAAACATGACTTCGCACATGGTCTCGCGGTTCTTGAGGGGGTTCATGGGCGGTTCAGTGAGTAGGATCTTGCGGCCAGTTGGGTCGATCTTCATCTTCTCGTAGAAAGTGTAGTCCCACAGTTGTTGCATGTCGTCCCAGCGCTTCACGATACCGTTCTCCATCTGTATGTCAAGTGATCAGTGTGTAATTCTGGACAACTATTCCCTTGCAATGACCACATACGGGGTAGGTAATCTGGAGCATTGAGCGCGCCTCTGCAGCCTCGTCACCGCACATGATGTCCTTGAGCTGAATATCACCCGTGTTTTGCTCCTCGGTTCGCAGAATGGGCCGGCCGACTATCGAAGGGTACTGGTGATCCGGGAAGTTCTGTAGTAGCCATGGTCAGCTTTGCAGGTTTCGTGTTGTGCTCCAATCGACACTCACCTGTCCGGCATAACCCGCCTTCAGGAAACCAGTCCCGCCATCGAGAACTAATTGGTAGGGTAAGCAGAGCCTTTAAAATTACCAAAGGTACATTGCTTACCAATAGGAGCTTCAGCCATCTTGTAAAAGGCTCTGGAGAGTTGCTGGGGTGAGGGAGGGTGGATGTTGAGAGCTGGCTGTAGCTCGGGTGCCTACGTGCCTTGAGGTTGACGACGTTGGCGGCGGGGCGCTGATGGCTGGCCGGGGGTCCGTGAGCATTCAAACGGGCAAAGCAGATGGTCGAGCTACAACTTGAAATGCACCGGCTACTTTTGATTATACCAAAATCTGCGTTCTAATTTCAGGCTGAGAATTGTTAGACGAATGTAATGTGTTATATTATTTGGTCCCAGCACGGATTTCTTCCAGTTGGGCACCCAAGAGAGACTGCTTGCGTGCTGCCCAAGGATCATCTCATGTGTGCAATCAATGCCAAAAAAGAGCCATGTTCATGGTTTATCATCTCCCCAAATGCTTCATATCATTTGTACATGCATTTTTCAGGTCTCGTCCCCGATACTCGTGGTCACCCATCGGGAGCGAGCTTGCTTGCTTGCGTGGTCACCCACCTTGAAAGTTGCGACTTGCACATCGCTACTAAGCGACATGGTCCGAGCGCCCACTCCAATATTCAGACGCCTTGCACCACCACCCTCGAACTTTCTCTCCTCAGCCGAATCTACTAACAGCAGCCGGTCAAGATGCCTTTCGTAAGTACACCTTAAGTTGCTCTCGCAACGAGAACTCCCTCCCTATTGCCGCCGTCACGGCAACCCCGCTTCGACGGTTTGTCGAGTGGAGTCTTTGCGAGATGCTTCGAATGCGGGTTTGAAGCGCAAATCGCTGACTCTGGGAAAAGTCCAAGCTCCAGAAGAACGACGCCTACTTCTCGCGGTACCAAGTCAAGTACAAGCGCCGCCGACAGGGAAAGAGTACGTACTAGACGAATTGCCTTGTTTGTGACCACATCTAACAGTTGGCAGCCGACTACTATGCCCGTAAGAGGTTGATCACCCAGGCCAAGAACAAGTACAATGCGCCCAAGTACCGCCTCGTCGTTCGCTTCACCAACAAGGACATCATCTGCCAAATCGTCCACTCCGAGATTGGCGGAGACAAGGTCTTCATGGCTGCTTAGTACGTTGCACGCGACTTGGACTCAACATGAATTGTGGTTAACAAACGCACAGCGCTCACGAGCTGAAGGCCTACGGCATCACCCACGGTCTTACCAACTGGGCCGCTGCCTACGCCACCGGTCTCCTCCTTGCCCGCCGTGTTCTCAAGAAGCTCAAGATCGACGAGAACTTCGTCGGTGTTGAGGAGGCTGATGGTGAGTTCACCCTCACCGAGGCCGCCGAGGTTGACGGCGAGGAGCGCCGCCCATTCAAGGTCTTCCTTGATGTCGGTCTCACCCGTACCTCCACCGGTGCCCGTGTCTTCGGTGCCATGAAGGGTTGCTCTGACGGTGGTGTCTTCGTTCCCCACTCCGAGAACCGTTTCCCTGGATACGACATCGAAGCCAAGGAGCTCGACGCCGAGACCCTCCGCAAGTACATCTTCGGTGGTCACGTTGCTGAGTACATGGAGACCCTCGCCGACGACGACGAGGAGCGCTACAAGTCCCAGTTCAGCGGCTACATTGAGGACGACATCGAGGCTGATGGCCTTGAGGAGCTCTACCAGGATGCCCACAAGCAGATCCGCGAGGACCCCTGGAAGAAGGAGGAGGGTGCTGGCCCCAAGAAGACCAAGGAGGAGTGGGCTGCGGAGTCCAAGAAGTACAGGACCAAGAAGCTCACCAAGGCCGAGAAGGAGGAGCGCGTCAAGGCGAAGATCGCCGAGCTTACTTCTGCTTAAGCGGTAGCCCTTTCTTCTTCACACTCTGTTCTATCATGAAAAAGTACGGCTCTGGCGTCTGGGGATGACATGGGAAGGATGCCTGTCATGACAGGATACATGTTCTGTACTTAGCCTTTCACGACCCTCAATGAGAAGATAAGACGACGGGCCACGCAGTTGGCTGTCGCAAACAAGATACCCCCATTTCATACAAGTGTGCCCACTCGCTCTGCATAGGTGAAACATGGTGAAATGCGATGACATGGCCCATCTGATTTGCGCGTTGATGGCAGCAGGCTGTTGTGTAAGTAGACAATTTTGCCTTTGAGTTTGCCTCTGGCGGTTTGGTTCTAGATAGTCTTGGCTGTGTATGCGTGTGTAAGTATTGGTTCGCGAGGGTCAGGTGTCTGGGTCCACGAGGGGGCACATGACCCCGGGTACGGATGATGGGAGGGCCCGGCAAGGATTGCATCATGTTCGCGACTGGTCACGACGGGAAAGACGCCAACATGTAGTAGTGTATGTATGCAGTAGTAATCACATACGTAGCAAGCAGTAGTACATACGTACTAGTAGGTTGTATATTTATTACGGTGTTGGCGGAGAGAGAGCTGAGGAGGAGCCGAAGCAAGCAGCCGAGAGCGTCTTTCGTCATCGCCCCGGCCCCAATATACATACGTGCTAAGCACCGTCGCGCACGTTCGCCATCACCTCGCTGCTCGCCATCGGCCGAAGATCGCACAGGGCAGCTTTTTGAATTTGAGCCCAAGTTCTGACGTGAGCACCACGGGTCGACTGATATTGTATTCGGCTCCTGGCAGAACAGCATCCGGGAGCATTTCCTCAGCATTTCCAATCAGCGCGTGGCGTGGGTTGATTACTCCGAACTCAGCTCAGCCAGACCCCGCAGACTCCCGACTCCCTCACCGAGGGTATTCGCAACCCTGACGCATGGCGCCCCTGGATAATACAGGTACACAATGACAACCATCCAGACATCGACCGATGCTGCGTCCGCCATGGAGGACATACATGGTGTAGATGTATCGTGGCTGCATCACTCGACTAGAGGTAAGGCCCGCTTACCCTGGGTGGAGACCGCTCGGCTTTGCGGCGCGACCCTGGATTACTCTCTGTCTCGTGTGAGAGAGCACTGCTAACGTTGCACTCTTTACCACAGATCATCACCATCGCCAACAGGCCCCGTCATCGCCAGGCCTGAGTAGAGATGCGCCGCCCAAAACCTCATCCCATGGCGGAATACCTGCTCGGCCCCGCCATGACGAGCAGCAAATCCAGAAGCCGACACCGGCGACCAACAGACCCGCATCTCCCCCACGACCGTCTCCTGTCGCGCCTGCACCTGCACCCACATCTCCTGTGACCGCGACTCCTCCCATCAAGGTACCGCCGAAGCGACCGACACTACTCAGCCGAGGCAGTTCTGAAAAGAATGTCAACGGAACCACACCACCAGACTCGAGACTCACGTCGCGGCGCAACTCATGGATGAACACCATCAGTTCCAAATTCTCCTCGCAGAACTCGCCGGCGCAAACTACCCACGCCCAAGCCCAGGGATCGCATGTATCCCCCAACAACGCCTCTCCCTCGGCCAACGGTGCCCTGAACGGCATACAAGCAGCTTCGACAGGACACAATGGCGCCCCTGACCCCTATGTTCCACAACAGCCCAAGACTTCATTCGTTGGCAATGTCCTTCGGCGCCTGTCTTCGGGGTCGCAAGTCAGTGCTGTTGGCAAGGTCTATCCCAACGGAGGCGTGTGCCCGCGCAAAGTCATGAACATTGACCCAAACCGAGAACGATGTTTAGTGCCCGAGCTTGACCAGCACAAACTGCGCAAGGTTGCATTCTGTGTCGACGTTGAGATTGCTGGAGGGCCCAAGTACAAGGACGAAGTGGCTACAGATGAGAAGCAGCCAAAGCAAAAAGAAAAGAAGATGAAGGAGCGCGGTGAAGGCGAGGCACTCAAGAACCCGGATACTGTGGTTGAGCAAAAGGACAAAGCAGGTGTTGTCGCTGTCGCGCAAGAGGCAGTTGGAAACGAAAACGAGCCCAACCCTGAAGGCACAGTCATAGAGGACAAGCAGGAGACGAGCAAGAAAAAAGAAAAGAAGAAGCGATCGGAAGCTGAACGGAAGGAAAGGAAAGAGAAGAAGCGCAGAAAAGCCGAGGAGAACGGCACAGTACCTCTAGAGTTGACCAGAGATGACGATAGCGGTAGCGCTGAAGGTGTATCTGCTGCGTCAAGGACAACGGCACCTCCTCGCGCCCAGGATCGGCCAACGATTGATCCACTGCGCATCTACAGACGATGCTGTCAACTGCGCGAATCTCCTATCCTCAAGCGTATCAGTGACCAATTGGCAGCCCCGAGCGCATGCACCGTTGTTCAGCCCGGTGTCGTCACCTGTCTGGATTTGACTGGATCGCGGTTACAACTAGCAGATTTTCTCACTCTATCCGATTGGCTGGCTATCGTGCCTGTAAAGAAATTATTCTTGGAGGACGCAGATCTGACTGATGAAAAGATACGCCTTGTTCTCGCCGGTCTACTCGCTGCCAGGGTTCCAGAACCACCAAAACGTCGTAGTCAGTCCAGCGAAGATGCGCAGGATGGGCTTTGCCAACCAGGTTCTTCGGCAGTGAAAAAGCTGGTTCTGAAGAACAACCCCAAAATCACATCTGAGGGCTGGAAACACATTGCACTCTTCCTATACATGTGCAAATCCATCATGGCAGTCGACGTCTCGATGATTCCATTTCCAAACTCTCAACCGCAGGTGGCCTCCCCATCTTCAGAAAGCGCACCAGTTCTGTCACCTACCAAAGACACCAAGTCAGTGGATATTGCGGATATCTTCTCGAAAGCCATTTCCGAGCGCTTGGGTGGTTCCGAGTTACAAGAATTAGTCATGGCCGAGTGTAACCTGAATTCTGCAAGCATCCGCAAAATCATCGATGGCTGTGTCATTAGTGGTATCCAGCGTCTCAGTCTTGCAACAAACGACATAGATAGCGAAGGGCTTGAACATGTGTTACGGTACTTGCGTTCCGGGGTCTGTCAAGGTCTCGATATCGGAGGCAATGATCTCAGATCTTGGATAGGCCAGCTTGGTGAAAGCATAAGACACTGCGAAAACAGTCCACTGTGGGCTTTATGCTTGCAAGACACCGGTCTTACTCCTGAATCGCTCAAGGCACTATTTCCAGTCCTTGTATCTTTGCCGTCCTTCAAATTCTTGGATCTTTCGCATAACAGGGGCCTCTTCATGGGCCAGACTTCGCTATGTCTGCTAAGGAAATACATGCCCCAGTTCAAAGAACTGAAACGGATACATCTTGTAAACGTGGACATGAAGCTTGAAGATGCGATAGCCATCGCTGAAATTCTTCCCGACTGTCCGCAAATTGCGCACATCAACCTTCTTGAAAACCCCGAAATCACACGCGTGGCAACTTCTACAGACGAGGAAACCCAAGAAGATGCTGCTGCGCTGTACGCATCTCTCACACTTGCGGCCAAATTGTCAAAATCACTTATATGTGTCGACGTCGACATACCAGCTCCCGAACAGAGCGAAGTCGTCAAGGCACTCGCAAAACAAGTTGTGGCGTACTGTTTGCGTAATATCGAATCCATCAACGAAGTGCCTGAACTTCGTGCTGCACCAAAACAAGTCGAAGTACCGCGCATCTTGATGCGTCTTGTGGGCCCAGACAATGAAGATGATAAGGAGAACGACAATGCATCGTCAGCCGATGATGACTACATTATCGGCAGCACGGGCATTGCTAAAGCCATGAGCTATTGCTTATCTAACAAGGAGTCGGATCTCAGTAGAGTGTCAGTTCCAAGCGGCACTTCGACTCCAAGGAGTAGAGGCTTAGTTCCAGTACTGGAGGAGCCAAGCAAGGCAAGAGCAATGTCTAAAGACTTGCTTGATACGGCGCGTACCACACGATCAAGGATCCAACCTGCATTGATTCGAGAGGCGAAGAGCGGGAATGATGTTAACTACCGTATGTCATATCACCTTAGCATTTTTGAAATACAGCTAACACGCAAAGGCCGTTTATTGTTCTTGGATCAAACCCTCCAGGGTATGATCCAGCGCTTTGAAGACGAATATCCAGAAACCCGTCTCCAGCCTTCAGAAGCTGCCTCTATTTCTAGCTCCTTACCAAGCGCTTCACCGACTGCTTCTACAGCTCCTGCCCTCGAAAACAGCGTCTTAACAGACATGACGGCCCCTGAATCCGATGAGGACGAACCTCCTACTACACTTCGCTCGCGCCACAACTCCGATGTCTCTCTCGCATCCCGTAACATGTCCCTTGAAGAAGGTCGTCTGCATCGCTTTGGCCACCGCGTGCGCACTGGTCTTCTCAACTCCCGCCCAAGCACGCCTGATGATTCTGAGAACCAGTCTTCCTTCCTTTCGAGCACGGCAGACGATGAAGGATTCCCTGAGCACATTGAATCGTTGCGCGAGTACTTCATGAACCACAGTGGTGATGATGAGCTCAGGCATATGATTGAGGGTAAAGGATGGGAAGAGGCTTTTGACAGCGTAGTGAAGAACGCCGAGGAGCTGAAGAACTTGGAGAGAGAGGACCCAACCCATTTCAAGATCTTCAAGGAAAGTCAAATTGCTGCCTTGAAAAATCGTAATCCAGACTTGTTTGCTCCAGGGGAGAAGCACGTCAAGAGCGACGGAGATGGTGATGATTTTGCTGTTGAAGACTAGACTAGGAACCGTTTAATACCACGATTCTGGGGGAATGGGTAATGTAAAGTAAGTGTTGGACATTCACTGTTGATTTGAGATACCAGAAGAGACCCTGAGCGTCTCGATTCGCGTAGTTTTGTATTCTTTTTACATTTTCAGCACGTAACCAATGCACCTCGTGTAATGAGGTGGTTGAAGTAATGTTACTTTGATGTTACGTGAGCACTCATACTACCTTTGTAAAGGTTCTTTAGCATCGCAATTCGTGACAACTCTGAAGGAGATGAATCCAGCTAGAGACGTCTCCTAATATGAAATCATTGAGAGCTGATTTGAGAGTGCCCAAAATCGCCTCATACTCACGCCACCACGGACCACTTTCGCGACGCACACTAATGCTGCTTCGTGCATGTTGCTTTGTGCATGCTCCAATCACAAAAGTTCATATATAATCATTTATCTCTAAAGAGTGAGTATTTCCAAGTCTTCACGATGCCCAGCGTCACTACCGCCTCCTTCTACTTACTCTTAGTCCTTGCCATATCAATTCAATATTTTCTACCTTCTCCTGAAACAAACATGACATCCGTCAGCAGCCCATGGGCCGATACTCCATGTGAACTCATCACTACACCACAGCATGCGACAGGAAAAGTATTTTGTTTTCAATAAAAAAAATCCCACTTACTGGAAAATTATACTGATTTCTTCATCTCTTAGACCGACATTTTCACCGTCGGCGCCACACACATGGCACACATCCACAACGCCATCCTCCGCGGCTACAACTCCATCTACCTCCAAGCACCCCTCGTCAAAGACACCGACAAAGCTGCATTCGTAGGCTACGCACTGACATGGTTCCGCTTCGTAAAATCGCACCACGACGACGAGGAAACCGAGTTATTCCCCGCTGTCGAACAAGTCTTAAACGACAAGAACATATGGGGAGAAACGCACAAAGAGCACGGTAAGAAATCTCTCCTCCCCCTTACCTACTGTCTCTCTTTCCTGCATGAAAAGAACAGCGTGTCTAACAAGAAGAGTAAAAATACAGAATCCTTCTTAGAAGGCCTATCCGCATACTCCTCCTACCTCTCCACCCTACCCTCCCCCACCGCTCTAAACGGCACACACCTCCAATCCCTCATGTCCTCCTTCCAACCAGCCTTCTCCCACCATTTCCACAGCGAAATCAGCACCATCGCTTCTTTCTCCTCGCACCCGTCTGCCCCCGCGCCCAACACCCCCGAAGCAGACGCCGCAGCCGCTGTATTCAAGACTTGGGGCAAGAAGACGGTGATGAAGGCGGGGACGCTGGATGTTGTTCCTTTTTTCTTGATGAACCTAGATGCAGAGTATGAGGGGGGTAAGTGGGCGGATTGGCCGCCCATGCCGAGGTTGGTTAGGTGGGGGTTGGTGAATGGGGCCGGTAGTGTGAATTGGGCGTGGTGGAAGTTTGCGAGTTGTGATGGTGGGGGTAGGCCGAGGGCATTGTGGGCGTTGCAGCAGGAGGGAGGGGGGAAGGAGTAGGTGTTTGGCTTATGTATGTTTTTCTGGGAGGTTTTTTGAGTTATTTTGTATTTGTTTGAATGGGTATTTGTCACAGGTAATGACGGATGTAGTCTGCATTTGTGAATGCGGGACGTACCTTTCATCTGAATTCCAATCGCATGTGTAATATCTGCACTTTCTCCCTTTTCTTCAGCGACTTCTCTTATCGAACATGTCATCCGGAAACAAAACAACAAAACAACAACGTTGTTATCATCCTTTCAGTCCATTCTTTACACTTCTATCCATAACCTCCATATCCATCTACAATGTCTTCCATAACCCCTTACGAAGCTGCCGCCGCCGCAATCCTCAAATCCCTCGAAAAACGCATCACAGCCCTCAGCATGAAAATCGCCACCGACCGCGCCAACCTCCGAGAAAGGCTCCCACTCAACTACACCACCTGGAAGCGAGAAAACCGATGGACCGCCGATCTCGAACGATACCAAATAGAACTAGAGAGACTGTGGATCAAGATCCAGGACGCGACTCTGGACTACAAGATGGTATGGGTGGACGAGGTGGAAAAGAGATATGCCGATAGAATTGGGAATTGGAGGACTAATGGGATGTTCTGAACGAGACCCTGTCTCATTTGAAGGAGAGGAGGAAGGGAGGGGGGAGGGGGAGATATTGACAAGTAAAAGGTTTTCATTGCCATTGCACCAGCCCATCGATATAAACCTTCAGTGCTATATCATCGCCACATAACCCAGCGCTAATACTTATATTGATAGCTAAGTCGCTATCGCCGACGAGGAACATATCGCTTCGCACGTCGTTTCCGCGTAACGGGTCGTACACGTAGTCTGGGATTCGCGTTTTGACGGCTTGAGGCCAGGTTCCGATTGCATAGCTCGTCTGTGATTGTTGAGGTACGGAAACGGCTTTGCACCAGTAGTGGCTGGTTGCGCGGTTGAAGCCAAAGGCGACTGGGTAATTGAGGGAATGCGCATATGTGGCTGACTGTACGCGCAGGAGGAGGGCACCCCAGAACTCGGTGACGTTTTCGGGGATGCGGAGCTCGTGTGAGGCTTCGTCCCATGCAGGGCGGGGTGTAACGCTGATTATGCGGACGGCGGGTGTGATTTGGTTTGATATCCGGCGTTGGATGTGGAAGCATTTGAAGTCTGTGGTTGTAAAACTTGGGGGGATGGAGAGTTTCTGTCGGACATAGATGGTCTTTAGTTGACCTGTTGGCCAGTCATCAATTGCAGTGAGGGTTCCAGCGTCGACACGTGCGTATTGCATGCCGCCATCTAGACATTTCAGTGTGATGGCTAAGCGCTGGCTCATGGAATTGCTTGATCGGATCATAGCCAGCACACGGCTCTTGTCTTTTGCATCCGGTAGGAACTCGAGCTGGACACAGAGACCTATAGGCGTCGAGGCGATGGGAAAGGTGGACATGACGCTCTCGCGCTCGATGGAGTGACAGTGCTGGAACTCAGCCGGACTTCGTGCAAGTAGGCCCCGATATGTAGACTGCCGTGACTCATTTGCACGCCATGAGAACAGTGAGTAGTCATCGGTCGTTTTGAGTACCTCTTCCTGCAGCCGAATAAAGGCCTTTTCGCCTTCCCCATACAAAAGCGGCATGTGGATATCGAAGATACCGAGTAAGCTGTATGCCACATCCTCAATGCGCGTGCTTTGACGATGCGCAGCCCAAGACATTCTTTCTGCTACCGAAACTTCACTAAGTGATCTGGAATCCTCAAGGATATGGACCGGGATGTTTGTCACATCCGACAACTCTTTCAAGAACTCGACCTTCTCGCCCATCAATGTCCAATCCTGGAGGTAGAAGCGGCATACAACAGGCGCTATAAGCTCTTGAAGAGTCCATCCACGTTGCGTCCATCTGCTATTCGCAAAAGCGCATCTCGCAATCTCTGAGGCGGTCCTGAAGTCGCCGTGGTTTTTGGCAATGTCGCTAAGATACACGATGCACACTTCTGCGTCCCTGTACCAACGATACATGGAATTAATGGCCTCTTGCAGCTCGGCGCTTGATGTCTTGTCTATACAGCATGTGTCTACCCAGAGATAGTTGCAGCCCTGGCCCCGCGCTTGCTCGGCTGCATTGATGATTTTGCTGTAGCCAACACGCTTCATGAGATCGCTTTCCGACATGGTTCCTGAGAGCGCCCCAGAGTTTCCTCGGATCATCATCTCCAGGGCCAACATGAGAGATGTTTGCGCATGTTGCTCGTTCTGTGATAGAGAGGCTGGCAACGACGATGCGGAGAGTTTCCGAGCTCTATTGATCCAGACATATTCTTGGTGGCTGACTTCATCTGAACCCCACGTGTGGGAGAGAATGGCATAGGCAGGGATTTCATTGTCATTAAACCATCCGAGTTCGAGTGTTCTTGTGTCGATGAGACGCATGACAGGTGCTCCGCAATGTGCCGTTGTCGAAAGTCATTGGACTGGGGTGCAGTGGTGGGGTCAGTCTGTTTCGAAAACGATTTGTGCAAACCGCCCGAGAAACGCATCTGCTGCTCCAGTCATCATCGTCGCCCTAACTTGGGGTCCCCATATATCCCTCTCAATCACTCTGAGAAAATTTATACCAGATACAACATGTAGGAATAGTTCCAGGACATACTCAACTCAATCGCCTGGTCACGATATGAGGGCTATTTTTGAGAAAAGATTGGAACCGAGAATTCGTATTCTCAACTCTAAACCCCAGCATAGTAAATCTAGTTTTGCATCCGATGTACCAAGTAATATTTTACCACCATTGATGCAGTTCAAGTGTCAATAGGATCATGAAGTATATAGTGAGTATCAAGAAGGAGGCATTGCCTACTGATGTGGGCTAAATGCCTAAGAGAGAAGTAAAGAAAAGAAAAGACAGGATCAAATGCCGACAGTATGGATATGGAATGCATACATGAAACCCGATGTCTGTAGATATATCCAACCATCATCACCCCTGTCTTGAGTGATTACAAAAATTACTCGCTCGCTTCCTGAAAAGCCCCAACCTGCTTGGATTGAGCTCTTACATTACGTGAAAGCTCGTCCATGATGGACTCCCGATATTGATGCTAGAAATATCTGATGTCGAAGTCGCTGTTTCAATGTGAAACGGAAACCTTGGCCTTCAGAAAGGCTGCAGAATTAGCAGCTAGACCCGATTAGCAGCATCGTGGCGCGAGACGTTGAAGTCGCGGTCGACCCCGATTTCGTTGCTATTCATGCTCTTATGAGCAGGTACACCAGGATTGAGCGGAATGCTCTCAATGTCCTTGCTCTTCGTATCAGACCACACGCTCATCTGACGACTCTTGTCGCAAACAGTAGAGCCCCCGACCATGGTAGCGCTAGATCCAGAATTGAAGTAATCGTTCCTGATAAGACGTTGATGAGCATCAGGCCCTCTGGAAGCAAGTTCCTGGTCGTTCACAACTCCCGCCCAGATTGCCGATAGCGGAAGGAAGATGCAGACGACCGTGAGGACATGAGTAACAATCTCAGGAAGGAATGCTGCAAACTGGAGCGAAGAAAAGATTGCTGCAAATATGTCAGTTGAGTCCCGATGCTAAAACATATATCATAAACGTACCTGGAACCAGCATGGTCTGGCAGCCCATGATGAAGACGACCTGGATCGGTCCAAATTGAGGCATGTTGAGACGACGCCTCTGCATAATCGCATAGCCGAGCTTCCAGGTAAACACGCAACTGAAGAGCCAGATCGCAACGGTCTGAAGCATGTAAGAAATCGATACTAGGTACTCGATAGAGTCTGTGGGTTGATAGGACAATGTCAACTTGGTATTGTAGTACACAGCAGCGACTCTGTACCCAAACGAGACGCCAGCCATGATGATAGTAACAGTCATGATGATGTTTCGCTGTAGAGGTGGTGTGGTGACGCAGACGGTCCAAATTTGAAGACTGAGCGAGGCGAAGACCAGAGCGTTGACCAAGATACCCAAGACATTGATGGCAATATGGTTGGCAAAGTCTCCGTTAGTAATGCGTCTCCAATCCTGGCTGAGAACGGAATAGGGATTGTAGAATTCACCAGTGAGCCAGGTGCTGAACAGCAGACAACGGGTGCAATTGGTGAATACACAAGCCGCATTGAGCAGGAAGATGGAGGACTTTCGTCGATCAGCCTTGGTCGTGATGAGGAGAACCAGGAAAAGGAGTAAACATGCTCCGAATCCGGCTCCGTAGCTGATTGCAAGGCGAAATCCAAAGTAACGATATTGGTCAAGGTCCTGCATGTTTCTCGTCACAATAACCCATCCGCCTTGGCCATCGGAGACTGTGATGTTCAAACTCTGACGCCAGGGGTCAAAGTTCGGTGGGACTTGGACATGCTCCATAGGAACATCCATGATGCTTGGCACTGGTGTGTGTTGTCGTTTGAGAGCTGTCGCGTTTGGCTTCTCGAGGAAATGCCTTGAGACAAGTACTGAGGCGGACGAGAATAGGTATAAGAACAAGAAAAGGCAGTCACACAGTCACGAAAGGCGGGGTTGTGTAACTTGAATCGTGGTATTGAAGTTGGGACCTTATAAGGCTCGGAGGAATGATAGCAGTGACGAGCGGCGGCTGAGAAGAATGAGAGGATCCCGTAGCAACGAGAGATATACACTGCGCGAGGCAGCATGTATAATAGCTAACAGGCAACGATTTTTTTCTTGATGAATGTTGTCGCTAAATATTGTCGTTGATAGGGTGAGTGGACGAGGCGCGTTTGGTTCTTGGATGGATAATAGCAACCATAGTGACAACATGGGAGTGACCGGCCACCTCGACTCACCACTCCAAGGTCTAGAGTCAAGGTGAAAAGGCGGTCTTGGAGATTTCGATACTCTTACTATTGTTCGTGGTCCCGGCGGCTGTGTGCGTCGAGTTACTGACTGTGACAAGTTCCAGTTCGGTGACGCAGAGCCAATGTTCTACTGTTGTACTTCTCCTGTCTCACTACAAGTCGCAAGGTCGCCTAAGAATTTATTAGAAGCCATCGCTTTTGCTGTTTGAGGCGCAGATGGAAGCGAAGATAAGATAGCGTAGAATTCCTTAGTATTGTTCTTCGACTTAGACCCTACCCATGCTCTGAAACCCTCCGGATCCCGGAGCGCTGGTGACAAGTGACATCGAGGTCAGTAGTGACTGCACCACATATCTTGCATGTACTAGGCAAGACGCTAATAACTCTGTGATCAAGACACCGAACGCACATGTGGTCTTTGCAGCATACATATGTGTGGATGAGGGTACGGTTCTCCGAGACGCAGGGATGATATGCACAATGCTATCATGAGCCAATCAGAGCAATCGCCACCCACTTATCCTGCACGCCATCGCTAGCTTAAGTGTTCTGAACTTCACAAACGTGACCACGCGTTCTATCTAATCTCGCCACAACGCGTCCAACGACTCCGACAATGTGGACGCTGGTCTCGTCGAGCACTACTGTTGCCCCTGGATCAAACGAATTCAACTTGCCGAATGAAGGCATCGCTCACATAATTGTGAGTGCAGAATCCAATCATGCTGAAGTAGTGCGCGGATTAGATCCACGCATGCAACGGGAACTTGGCCGGATCAGTATGTTCTTCCATCCTCAGGTTTTGTACGCATGCGCTTACATTGCTAGTCGCCGGACCTTTTGGAGTCAAGTTGGAAGCTGTCAACGAAAAGTTGACTATTATACCTGGTCAATCACATACGCCATCTCCGTCGTTCGCCAAGTTCGAGTTACAGCCACGCACTGACAACCACTCGGAAGCAATCTTCCTCCGCCATGGCGACATACTGAATCTGTCCTCCTTAGAATCAACTTTCACCTGCCAATGGACCGAATCCGAGGTCCAAGTCGACTCATCGGCAGTTCCTAATGCTCGTCGCATAGCTGAAACTCCAGAAGATGAAACCGAAGATGAAGGTTTGACTGAGTCTAAGCCTGTCACCAGAACTGAAAATCGCCATTTCCGGCTTCGGGCAACTCCGCAGCTTCCACAACAACAATCTTTTGTGGTTCAAGAGACCCCGACAGCAGCTCGAGTCAATAGCGTATCAGCTTCATTGGCTGCAGATATCAACCCACCCAACTTTGCTAATGATACGAGCGGGCCGACAAAAGAGACGCGAACTTTGTCACGTGAACAAGAGCTAGAACCAGAGCCAGTATCAGAGACCTTTTCTACAGCTCGAACAAGTGAATCCCAGAACACGAATGTTCTTCAATCAACCGAAGTGCCAGCTATCGATTCAGTTACGAACAAAACCAGGACTCCACTTCGTACGGCCGACAAAAGTTCTCCGCAAGTACAGATTCCTCCGAAATCAACCAAAAAGCGCAGCACTTCCGCTCTGCGAGAGAGTTCGAAGTTTGAACAAGAAACACTCGTAGTGGGTGTCAAACGTACAAAGATGAATAACGATGAAGATACACGAGATGCTCGACTGGGCAGCATTGACACAACATCCCAAAAGTCTAACAAGAAAGGAAAGAAGCGTCCAATGAGTACGTCTCGCACGGAAGCACTCGATGAGGCAGAAAAAGCAGATTTGATGCGATCTCCTCAGAGCACGCAGGAGTCAACATGCGCCACAACGGAAGCTTACGATGGGCATCCACCAAGGGTAGCCTCCAGTAACTCTACCATTACGAAATCAAGTCAGGCAGTCAAATTACTCAAGAAACAAGGAGGAACATATGTAGAAAAACTGACTGACGAATTCAACATACTATGGTAAGCTCAAGTGCAGTTCGAAGCCTGGAGTTTACTGATTAGTTGTAGTGTCAGAGATGGCGACCTTCAGAAGAAGACGAAAGTGCTGTATGCCATTGCCCGTGGGATTCCCATCGTTACGGATGCATGGCTTCTGGACTCGGCAAAGGAGGGCCACTTGCTCTCTTTATCTGCTTACAAGCCTTCCACTTCCAAGCAAGAAGAAGAATGGGGATTCAGATTTGATGATGTGTTTGGCCAGCCGCAAACCCCTTTTGAAGGCTATACTATTCATTTCACAAAGAATCTCAGGGGTGTATACGAGTCATTCTCTGAAGTCGTAGCAGTGTGCAAAGCTGCAGGTGCAAAAAACGTTACATCTACCAGGATGAATACAACCGGAGACAACATTGTGCTTGCAAACAACTACGAAGATGATCCAGAAGCACAGAAGTTGATCAAGGACGGCATAACATGCTATACAAAGGATCTCTTCACTATCAGCATCTTTCGCGGCTATCTTGATCTTGAGAGCGACGAGTTCAAGATAAAAGCACCCAACGCAGATAGCACGCCATCGAAAGAGAAAAAGAAAAGAGGCCGAAAGACCATGTAGAACATGCCATACATGCTTCCGACCCAGACGTAATATGGATGCCGAGATTGGAGCATTTCTGAATATCTCTTGCTGAACAGCGAGCGAAGTTTACAACTTGGTTGCACACAACCAGCGCAACTTGGCGAGCACTCTTTCTTATACCCAGATACCACTACGCTTGTATCTACAGCTATGAGGAGTAGCGACACAATTCAGGCTAATGTCATACATTAAGATACTCCAAGGTGTTCTGAGGCGTCTCATGCTGCGTGTAAGCGAGCAAGACCCACTTCCTACCCCCGCTCCACCCATTGAAAACTTGCACACCACCTTTGCGCGTCCACCCTTGTATTACTTCTTTTATTTTTGGGGTACAGAAACGCTACACTTTGTCTTCATCTCATCAATCACATGACAATAAGCCACGAGCAACACCAGCTCACCATCCTCCGTGGCGCAATTGGCTAGCGCGTCTGACTGTTACAGCATTATGTAGCTTATCAGGAGGTTGGAAGTTCGAGCCTTCCCGGGGGAGCAGCTTTTTTTGTCGCAGAGCTCTTCAAGGAAATGGTGCAACTTTGTTTTTGTTGGAAAGAGGGTGCTGTTGAGGAGACGAGTTGGGTGTTCGTGCGTCACTAGCGCGGGTTTTTCATTTCGGAACTTGAGATGGGGAAAGAGAGTGGGTTGTACACTACCAAATCGATCACGATCAGAATTTATGACATCGTTCGCTATACAAATAGGATAAAAGCTCTGGTCTATAGGATTCACAGTCATCAAAGTCTCAGTTATCCCGCTTACAGCCTATCACTCTGCTACCTTTTTGCGCTAGATGTGCCCCAATCGCAGAGGTATGTATTCACTACCGTGCAATATCTACCTGTAGAAATTTCCATACATTCATTAATTTGCACCCGGTTTTTCCTGCATGACTTGCTTTTGGTTAATCCATATTTCAACTTTACTTCCAGTGTAGTTTGTTTTGGCAGAGGGAGCCACATACCTGCGCCACTTCCTTCGGACTTAAGTTCAGCCCTGTGCCCGATCCTTGGGTTGCTCTGACAAGGGTCTATCTTAAGAACCTAGAAGCCGCAAGACCTTGGGCCTAATCAGGCAGTCAGCATGGCCAAGACGTGCGGCTGAAGGCACGGCGCCCATTGCCGTGAGGCTAAGCCAAGCGACGTAGCGAAACACTGGCCCTCCGAAAAGTAGCCCCACAAACCTATTGGACAAGAGCCCTATCATGCATAAGCTGTCGTCTTACTCGATGAACTACGCCTAACACATGGGCTTATTAGCGAGGTCTTTTTAGGTTAATTTGCAAGGCTGAGTTTGCTTGCCAACTACTTACCTCGGAAATTTTTGCGGAGGACCGCGCGGAGGTACAAACATGCACTTTTGATGCTTCATGAGGAAGTCGTCATGTGGTGAAAATGTCTCTGCCGTCTTTTTTGTGAGACTAGACACTGACGCGTGTATGGCCTAAGAGCGTATATAAGAGATAAGGACGGCTTGAAGAAAGAATACATCATCAGCATATTATCATAACTACCACAACGCACTTAGAATAAGAAAGATTACCGGACTTTTGTTTTGCCAATACTCCATTCAAAACATGATACCCTCCGTCTTCGCATCACCTCTGGGTCCTGCACAAGCAGCTGCCCAAGCCCAGGCACAGGGTCAGGCAAAAGATAAAACCTCGTCTCAGACTCAGTCTTCATCACAGTCTAGCACGTCCCAGTCCTCCAAGGTACACTTTCCACCTTTGCTCTAGCGCTCGGACCTTGGCTGACAAGTCCAGTAACCCGGATTGCAATTACTATTCCCTCTTTTCTCTCTTTCCCCTCCTCTTTCATTATGTAACATCAAACTTGACTTCAATACAATCCAACATACACAAGTGCACCGGAGTCCTCGCCGGTACTTCCCATCTTATCACCAAGGAGACACTGACAAGAAAAACTAGGAAATAACAGAGATAAGACGGTATTAGCGCTATAGAAGAGACTGAATTATGGGAGAGAATTTTGTATTAATTTCTTGTTACTACTTTCTTTGGGTACGAATATAGAAGGGTATAGACTAAGACACTACGATATTGTACAACAAGCCCCCGAGTGCGCAATTCATTAACCTACTACTGATACATACCTCTTAAGAACAAACCTGAAATCGTCGACGGAACCGTTTTGTTCTCCTTTCCCTCTTTGACCGCAAGAATGGCCCCAAAATTTTGCAGCCATTTTGCCCAAAATGCACTCAAAAGTAATCCTCTAGTCACCCATGCGTCACGTGCCAGCGCAACAACGCTAGTAACCCCACCGACAACGCGACGCGTCAAGCCCTCAACCCAAGCCCTCAACCCAAGCATCACCGCCACCCGTCATCCCTGCCCCTCACACACAACACCTACCAATTCCCTCCTCTCCCTCATCCACCAACCCCCCAGATCCACCCGCCAGACTTTTCATAACCCCCCAAAAAACGAAAATGGATCACCCTCAAACCCCCCGCATCATCGCCCCGCACCTCTCCGAATTCCAACACCGCATCGTACGCATACTGGGCAAGGTTGTGCAATTACGCGGCGAAACGGCCGTGATCGATGCTGGAGGTCAAATCGATGTTATTTTGACTCGGGTACGTACACGCACCTTTTTGTGGAGCCGGGAATGGAGGAGGACGAGGGAAGACGAGACGAGCGATAAAGAGAGGAGATAGAGAGAGAGAGGGGAAAGAGAAGGGGGTTAGGTGAACGAAATGTTGACATGGATTGACAGGATTCTCATCTCACTGTTGGTCATGCAGTAGAGATTATTGGAAAGGTGGATCAGAATTTGCACGTCAAGGTGCAGGCTGCGACGGATTTTGGGACGGGTGTTGGTATGTGGTTTTTCTTTGCACCCCTTCCTTTTTATGATTTTGCTTCGGTGGAATTGCCATGCAGCATGTTGGTATCGGATAAAAATCATATCGTAATTGTGAGGAAGAAGAAGCTAATGTGAAATGTAACAACAGATTTCGACGCAGCGAATGCAGTGGTGGACGTTACACATCGGTACAAGGAGATTTTCTACGACGACAACTAATGACCCATCGTTTGGACTGAGGGGTATTTGTAGATGGACAAGAGAAGAAGAAAACAAGGGCGGAATATAGCCTAATTCGACATGAAATCCTGTTCTTACTTCAAGAGCATACACGACGAAGAACCTACGCGTTCCTCACGGCAGTAAGAAGATAGGTGCCACATTGAAGCAATGCCTAAAGCATGACAAGATCACGCTTTTATTCATCAAGAGATAATGCCATACAAGTTCATGGTATCTCGTGTCAACGCCCCCTTCCCTACCCACATAAAATAAAAACTCCTCATGTCCAATCCCCCAAAATGCTGGAAATCTCTATATACGACACGCTAGAATCCACTCTAGGATATGAAGAAAAAAACCGAAGAAGTCATTTACAACTTACTCCTCACCCCCTCAAGTCTAAACTTGACATCCTTCAACTGCTTGCCCGTAGGTTTCCATTTTTCAAACAGACCAAGTAAGCTCTCGACCTCATGCCCAAGCTCCTTCTTCACAACATCCTCCTCCAGCAAACCTCTCATAGCCCAAGGCAGAAAAAAGGGATTTGGATTTGTCGAACTGCCACTTGGTTCGTATTCTTGGACTCTAAGCTTGAACACATCTTCCTTCTTGCCCATGCTCAGTTTCTCTCCGATAATAGGAATGTTGATGCCTTGGAAACTTCCCGCAGTCGAAGGACGCTCTTTGCTTGAGGGGATGGGGAGAGACGTTGTTTCGAGGGCGTGTTGGACGGCAAGGGCGTATACGGCCGGGTCCTCGTAGACGCGGGAGTGGCCTTCGCCGCCGTAGAGTGAACCAGCTAGTGCAGGCGAGAGTTCGCGGATGAGCCCGTGGTCGGGAAGCCCCAGGTTGCGTAGTTTGAGTGTGAAGCCGACAAGGTGGGTGAGGAAGTCAGGGGCGTGTATACGGCCGTCTACAAAGACGGCACGGTAGATGTAGGGATGTGAAAGGGTTGAGAATGTGGACGACTGAAATGGGGCATTGAATTAGCATTTGGCTTCTCACAGGGGATAAGGGCATATCATACTTCGAGTGATACCAGTTGGTCGTCGATGCTGCCAACGTACAGTATACGCACTCCAGATCTCAGAACCTCATCCAGGGCAGCGAGGTACATCTGGCTGACAAGACTCTTAGGGTTCGTAAACTCAAAGAGCTCTGCAGCCGTGGGACCAAAGTATTTGGTTTTATACTCAATAAAGGGGCCCATGTTGATACCAGCCATGGCACACACTCCGATTCTTGTAGCATTGACACAACCAAACTGGATCAGCTTGGCCACAAGCATCATTGCAACTGGTACGCCCTGGGAGTGGCATGCCACGAGAATGAAGTCTGCTTGTTTGATGTGGTCAATCCAATTGAGTAGTAGCTTCCACAAGGAATTGACACGCTCAGCAATGAAGCCTTCACCTTCCAACGCAATCTGCTCAATCTCTGGTGTGTACCCACGCGCCTCGGTCCAGTCTTTGATAGCTGCTGCTGCAGCATTTGCGAACCGGATCGATGTACCGGTAGGCTGACCCAACACTTTTTGGATAATGGGTGCAGGGAAGAAACCATGAACACCAATGGCTACCGCCTTCTTGATCTTTGGCGGCGCAGGGTTAATGTGCAGATGAGGGGCTCCAGCCTCGCCTCCAAGGAAGTATTGGCGAATTTGTTTCCAGAAATTTGGCTGCTGCACCATTTGGTAAGTATTTCTAAACTCTGGCAACAAAAGATTTGGTGGTTCCTGTTTGCCCTTGCCGGTCTGTTTTGGGGCGGGCTGGGAAGCGGGAGCTGTCTCGGATTTTGTAGGCTCACGCACTGGAGAGGTCTTAGTTGGAGTATTTGCTTTGCTGGAACTAGGAGTATCTGCTGGCGTGTCTTTGGCTGCAGTCTTTGTCTTTGGGCGGCCTCGTAGTGATGGAAATGATTTCCTAGGTATGGGTTTCTCCTCGACTGGTTTTTGCGGTTCTTTAGGGGGTTCTTGCTCAGAATTTGACTGTTCCTGCTCGTTGAACTGTGCAGCCTCGGGGTGCGATTGCGAAGGGGTATCGAAGACAGCTACCTCACCCACATGCTTTTGTGGTCCAGTATCGCCCGGCTTCTTGTCATCTTCTGGCTTGCCTCTATACCAAAATGCCCAAGCCGATGGTTTCAAGGGTTTCGACGCTTGTGCGGTAGGGCCAGCATCATTCGGTGCAGCAGGCTCTGCAGTAACAGGTTCAGCAGCAGCAGGTGTCTCTTGGGTAGGTGCTTGCTGAGCAGGTGCTATCTCAGTCGTCTTGGCCGGTTGAGCTATCTCGGTCGGTGCTTGAGGGGCTGGCTGAGATGTCTGATCTGGAATTTGTGAGCCAGCTTCTTGAGGTGGCGGCTCAACAGGAGGCGAATTGGCCTGAGCATTCTGTGCACTACTCCACATCCAGAACCAAGATCCAGAAGTAGCCTTTGCTAAGCGTTTGGCAGTAGAGGGCGGGGCTTCGGTTTGTGCTTCTTGGGTAGATGGTGGTTCAGGAGCATCCTTCATTTCAGTATCTCCATTCTCATCAGTCTTTGCTTGTGTTTTGATAGTGTCCAAGCCCTTGGCCTGAGCATCTGGCTCTTCTGAGGGGGTAGGTCCAGGTAATGGGGTGGTAGAGGCCGCTTCGACAGTCGCCTTTGCCTCAGTGGTGGCTTTCCCAGCTTCAGTATATCCATCTGGCCGCGACCACCAACTTCTCCATCCCCATGTACTTGCAGCGGCAGCGGCAGCGGCCTGTGACGCAGACGGTTCGGGAGGCAATGGAGGCTCGTCGACGGTCGTGGGTGTAGGTGGTTCTTCGACGCTCTCTTGCTTCGGGGTTGGTTTCGGCATGTCTTCGACTAGACCGTCTGAAGAGACGTTGACCTGTGTGATGGCAGCAGGTATGACGTCGCTCTTGCTCGAACTGCGCTTGGTGAGGAACTTCTTAGGCGACTCATCCTGGGGCTTCTTCGCTTCCTCGCCCGGCAGCTCGTTGGTTGCGCCCCCGCTGACACCGATGCTCTCCTTTGCAGTTTGGACTATGGCTGGTGCCTTGGACCGCCAGCTACCCGACCCTGATAGCCATCTGCTGCCGCGGGGGGTTAGTGAGCCGGTGGAGGTAGGTGTCGTTGTACCGACTGAAGATGTCGAGTCGGCTACATGCTGGTCTGAGGTAGTATCGGCAGGGGCCTGTGTACTTGGCTTAGACTTCTTGCGTGGAATCATGCCTGCAGCACGGGAGAAAAAGCCGAGTAGGCGGAGAGGCCTCTATCTTTTGTTATGGACACAGACACGACATGTGCAGCTGGCGGTTTACCTTCATCCTCATGTGGTGGCCCAGGCACGCGTCGAACTGGCTGGCTGGCCGGCCGGGTGGCCATGACGCATGCTACATGTCCCGTGCACTACACGGTACTAGCGTGCTTTACTCTGCCCTAGTGTGCTTCAGACTGCGCGTAGGAGATTCTGCCACCGCCCAGCAATAGCGCCGCGCATCCCAAAATTTACTTTGGCGAACTTTTTGCCCGCGCCATCACGACAACCCCAAACCGCAGCCATGGCGATCCAAAAGAAGGTGCGCAAGGAATAATTCGAAACATACAATGGATATTTGCTAATAGAAAAACAGCACGGAAAAGGTCGTCTCGACAAGTGGTACAAGCTCGCCAAAGAAAAGGGCTACCGCGCGCGTGCTGCCTTCAAGTTGATCCAACTGAATAAAAAGTACAACTTTTTAGAAAAGAGCAAGGTCTTAATTGATCTTTGCGCCGCGCCAGGATCATGGTGTCAAGTCGCTTCCGAGGTGCGATTTTTTTTCCTTAAGAAACCATGCGCCAGACTTTATACTGACACCTCCAGGTGATGCCCGCAAACTCCCTCATTGTCGGTGTCGATCTCGCCCCAATCAAGCCTATCCCACGATGCATCACCTTCCAGAGCGATATCACAACAGACAAGTGCCGAGCGACGCTGCGCCAGCACCTTAAGCATCTCAAGTGCGATACAGTCCTTCACGATGGTGCGCCCAACGTCGGAACTGCGTGGGTCCAGGATGCTTTTACCCAGGCCGAACTTGTGCTGCAATCCATGAAATTGGCGACTGAGTTTTTAGTCGAAGGCGGAACTTTTGTTACCAAGGTCTTCAGATCAAAAGATTACAATTCACTGCTCTGGGTTTTCAACCAGCTCTTCACTAAAGTCGAGGCAACGAAGCCGCCATCTTCCCGAAATGTCTCAGCCGAAATCTTCGTTGTCTGCCGTGGCTACAAGGCCCCAAAGCATCTTGACCCTAAGTTCCTCGATGCTCGCAGCGTTTTCGCCGAGCTCGCAGATCCCACGCCTAACAACGAAGCAAAGGTGTTCAAGCCCGAAGTGAAGAAGAGGAAGCGTGAGGGTTACGAGGAAGGAGATTGGACACAGTTCAAGGAGGCTCCGGTATCCGACTTCATTCAAACCACCGATCCCATTGCCATGCTCGGTGGCCTGAACAAGCTGAGTTTCGAACAAAAGCCGAACGGCGACATTGCCATCGCCACCATCGACAAGCTTCCAGAAACCACAAAGGAAATCAGAGACTGCTGCGCAGATCTCAAGGTCTTGGGACGAGCCGACTTCAAGCGCCTTCTCCGCTGGCGACTTAAAGTGCGCGAAATCTTTGGATTTGCGTCGAAGAAGGACAAGGCCGATGAGGCCAAGGCCAAAGAAGCGCAAGAGGGCGAGGAAGTTGCCGAGATCGAGTCTATGGACGAAGAGATGCAAATTCAGGAAGAGTTGGAACGCTTGAAAGAGAAGGATACAAAGGCGAAAAAGAAACAGCGTCGCGCAGAGAATGAGCGAAGACAGAAGGAGATTACTCGACTACAAATGAACATGGCAACGCCGTTTGACATCGGTTTGGAGCAGGTTGGACCTACCGGCGATGATGCCATGTTTGGTTTGAAAGCTGTCGATAAGGCCGGTGCTCTGAACAAGATTGCTAAAGGAAAGATGGTGCAGATTGTCGAGAAAGAGAAGCCGGAAGAGGCTGAGGAAGAACTTGAAACCGACGAAGAAGAAGACTATCTCGAACGAGACCTAGACGCTATGTATGGCGAGTACGTCGAGCAAAGATCTGCTCGCGATGCCAAGTACCGGGCAAAACGCGCCAGGAAACAAGACGATGACGGTGAATGGAACGGTTTCTCTGATGAGGACAAAGAACAAAGTGACGACGAAGAGCTTGTACAAGACGCCGACAGTGACTGGAGCAGCGACGAAGAGGAAGGGCCCAAAGAGCTAATTACTGATCTCGATCGCGACGGACAGTCCAAGCGAGGTCTTACCAAGCGTGCCGAGCGCTTCTTTGATCAAGACATTTTCAAGGGAATCGATGGCCTCGATGACCTTGAGGAAGATGACGACAGCGGCATCGATGTCGAAGGCGATACCGAAATGAAGGAGGAGTCGGCTACACCACCTTCTGCATCAGAGAAGGCACTGTCAATCCGAACGAGCAAGAAGAGCGCCTCTCCTGCAGTAGCTTTCGATGACGAGTCCTCTGATGAGGACGATGACAAAATCGAGGAAGTCGCGCGCGACGAAACACAATGGGAACAAGATTCGATGCCTATGAAAAACGGCAAACCAGACATCGACATCATCACAGCAGAAGCCATGACCCTCGCCCATCAGATGGCTACCGGTCAGAAAACAAAACACGACCTCCTAGATGAATCGTTCAACCGTTACTCACATCGTGACGTCGACGGTCTTCCCGACTGGTTCCTCGACGACGAAAACAAGCATTCCAAGATACAGCGCCCAACTTCTGCAGCTGCAGCTGCAGCTATCAAAGAGAAGCTTCGCGCGCTGAACGCTCGCCCTATCAAGAAGGTCCGTGAAGCACAGGCCCGCAAGAAGTTCAAGGCTGCCCAGCGCTTGGAGAAGCTCAAGAAGAAGTCTGCTCTCTTGGCAGACGAGGAGGGCATGACAGAGAAGGAAAAGGCCCAGAGTATTGCGCGATTAATGTCGAGAGCGGCAAAGAAGAAGCCCAAGCAAAAGGTCAGTGTCGTTGTGGCCAGAGGAGGTAACAAGGGTATCAAGAACAGACCGAAGGGCACCAAGGGCAAATACAAGATGGTTGATGCTAGGTTGAAGAAGGATGTTAGGGGCGAAAAGAGGGCAGCGAAGAGGAACAAAAAGAGGTAGATGGGCATAATTCATATCATTTTGTGTCCCCAGGTGTGGCTCCAGAGGACACTTCTGGCTGGTCCACTCAGCAGTCGATACCACTTTTTGAAAAAGCTTTGAACATCATATTTTTCGACATGTTTTACCTACTTTCGACGAAATCTGCTGCAGATCTCGACATACGTGCTCATTCCTAGCCGTGTGGAGCGGCAGCCATCATACCTTTGCTTGCGTAATTACCTATAATAACTTTCGCATGATGAAGGCAGTTTGCGGTGACTTCAAACAAAGTCAAACCAGGCAGTGTCACCAGATTCAACGACTCACAAACACCTGTAACAGAGAATAGGGTATCTATATTGCCGGCCTCGGGTTTGCGGGGCATTGCTAAGTGTGTTTGGCATGCATTCAGGCTATCGCGCATTGTTTTCATTGCAAGTTTGTATAACAAGACAGTATTTGCTAGTTCTCTTTTGGGTGGCTATGTGACAAACGAAGCAATGCACAATATTTCGTTGAGATGCTTGTATATAGGTAAGCCATTTTTACTCTCTGTATTTCATCACGGAGAGCTTCCAGTACCTTACACCATCTTCTCGTTGCTTCTACATTCAAATCATACATACAGTTCATTCTTGATTTCAACTCTACATATTGGGTACCCTCAGCTTCGAGACGATGAGCGATTTCGAACGTCTGACGGAGAAGTCCCTGCTTCGGCATATGAATGACGACCCTTGTGTCATTTGTGGTACTAGCGGTCACGATGCATACGACGGTGCTTGTCCGAAACTCAATGTACCAACTGCAATGGATTCGCCTCTCGCTAGTATCTATGGTCCGGGAAAAGCCAATGCTGCTCGTCAGACAATTGTCAAGTTCCGCAAGTCGAAGAAGCCGCGGTATCAGGATCCGGCGGAAGAAACAACAGCAGATGCGAATGTGGAAGCCTTAGCACGGGTGCAATTGGAGGACCAGACCCAGAATTTACCTGAGGGCTCATCCAAGGACGCAGTCACGGATGCAACAAAGGATACAGTCGAGGATACACTCAAGGGCGCAGTTACAGATGAGGACTCCATGCTGAACGGAATCCTTCTGTTAGTCGGTCGCTCAACTGAAGGTCTGACGGCGGTTCGCGACATCACACAGACAGATCCCGTAGAGACTTGTGCGCCGGATTTCGTCAATGTACCGGATAAAGACCCAGTTGGCCTAGGCAATGTGTTCCAACCCGAGCTTGCCCTGAGCAAGGCGAAGAAAGCCGAGTTTCCCCTCCGAAAAGCATTTGCTCAAGCATCGTCAGACGTGCTCACGAATCACTTTGAAGTTCGCTTCAAGCCGAAGACCCGCTTCTTTGTCTACGAAATTCTCAAGATTCCTGGTGGGAAGAGCAAGCGCAAAGCCAAATACATCTTCAAGACTGCCGAAGAGGCATGGAGTGTACTTAGAGATAACAAGCAATACTATGCCACAGATCATGTCAAGACAATTGTTGCGTGGAAGAACCTCCATGATACGATTGGATATCAGCCTGTTATCCCTGGAGATGATGGTACTCAAGCTGGCGCTGTATGGCAGCCTGAGGCTATCGCAGATGGAAGTGAGAGAGTGCAGCTCTTCCTCAAACTCCACCGCGAACTTGATCTTGACGGACTGTATCGCTACATGGATGCAAGTCACCAGGAGAGTGATCCAGAGTTCAACTTCAACCCCATAATCAGCGCGCTCAACCTTGCGATTGCCAACAGCATGACTTCAAACGTCTTCCAGCAATCCAGTAACAAGTTCTTTGTCAAGGGTGGTTACGTTGACTTGCCAGGAAAGCGCTCTCTGAAATCCCTGTGTGCGATTCGAGGCTACTATTTTACGATCAAGCCAGGAATGCAGAAGATCTTCCTCAACGTCAACCCTGCTACCAGCGCATTCTTCAGACCCATTACGGTTGGCGAGTTCCTGGCTGATGACACATTCTCTGAGGACGAGCGAGTGCGGCTCCTCAAAACACTGCGTGTGTATATTGAATATGAACGCTTGCCGAACAAAGACAATCAGGACCAGATCAATCGCCTTAATAAGCCCCAGAACCGTGTTAAATCCGTCTTTGAACTGGGTAGGAAATTCAGCGATCCGAGCATGAAGTTTCTAGATTCAACAGATCCTAATAAACATATGCGTGTTGAGAAGCATCTGAGGGATGTGTTTGGCAAGAATTTCAACAATGACCTTGCGGCTATCAACGTTGGCAATGAGAGGGAGCCAGTCTATTACCCTCGTGAATATCTGCGAATCCTGCCGTACCAGATTTATAAGAAACTTCTTCCGGAGGAACTGATCGACAATATGCTAAAACTCGCGGCACATGTACCCGATACCAGCCGACGTCTCATCGAGGTCGAGGGAATGAAAAGTCTCGGAATCCTGCATCCTAATGGAGAACAGCCGCTCGTAAGTCACATTTCAACTATTTCTTTCTGAAGCACTGAAACTAACACATGTATTCTTCTAGCCTGGCTGTTCGCACCTCCTGATCAAGCCGACAATGCTCAAGATACCATCCGCGCAATTGAGAGCTCTCACCATTTCGTACGGCTCCGGAACTCCTGACGCAAGACCGAATGACAAAGCTCAATGGAACCTCGGGAAACTTAAGAAGTTTTTCGATTCTCCTGGTTATTCTACCAAGAAGCAGATCAACTACCTTTTGCTCGTCGAGGCCAGCTTACGAAACGACAGAGATACGGTGATCACCTACCAAAATACATTCAACGATCTCCTGAGTCGATACAACATCTGTGGCGGTGCAAAATGCTTGAGTTCAGTATTAGTCCAAGGCCTTCGAGGGGTACCGTACGACTCCATCAAGGCGACGATCCAGGAATCCATCCAGGGCATGAAGCAGGGCCATCCCAGGGCTGACTTTGTGATCTTGCTACTGAAGAACAAGAGCATCCCGATTTACTCTGCTTTCAAGGATGTCGTGGATCGTTATGAGGCTCTTCAGTCTCTCTGCATGACTCAAGCACCAAATGTAAAGCGAGGGACCTTCAATAAGGACATCACCCAGTACATGGCCAACATCATGATGAAGGCGAATCTCAAGTTTGGCGGTAGCAATCATATTGTTCATTTTGACAACGCAGGCACCAAGAACTTGTTACACGAAACTCTAGTCCTTGGAGCAGATGTTACTCATCCCGGCACTGGCTCACTGGTTGGATGTCCCTCGATTGCTGCCGTCGTTGGCTCCATCGATTCTAATGCAGCCAAATTCCGAGGCTCCATGAGACTCCAAAGGACCTGTAAGAAAGAGGTAAGTCTCAGATGCCACCGACGATCTCCAGATACCGGCTAACAAGTATTGGCAGATCATCGACGACCTCGAGCCCATGGTCGTGGAACGCCTTGAAGCCTACCGCCGTGCAACCAAAACCCTCCCCAAGAAAATTCTCTACTACCGCGATGGCGTCAGCACCGGGCAATTCGCCCAAGTCCGCGACGAAGAGCTACCACAAATACGAGCCGCATGCAAAACCATCGGCGTCGCCAATATCAAAATCACCGTCGTTGTCGCCGTAAAGCGCCACTCAACCCGCTTCTTCCCCACCTCTATCGCATCCGCAAACGGAAACTGTAGACCAGGCACTCTCGTCGACCGTGCAATCACCTTGCCGCACTACTCAGATTTCTACCTGCAATCGCACCACGGCCTCAAGGGCACAGCAATACCAACGCACTACATGGTCATTGCCAACGAAATGAATCTCAAAGACACGGACCTCCAGGAACTCACATACAAGCTTTGTTACACGTACGCGCGGGCTACACTCGGTGTATCGTACCCGCCTCCAGCATACTATGCAGATCGGCTATGCGATCGCGGTCGAGCGTACCTGCGGAATTGGTTTAGTCCCGACAGAGGCAGTACAGAGCACCAGGGTTACACGAGTCTTGTGAACACTATCAAGCAAAAGGAGCAGGGCCGCTTGGCGCGGCGGAAGGCGCATTTGGCGCCACAGACGGGGAAGGGTGCGCAGAGGAAGTCGCCGGATGAGATTGCGGTGGAGAGGGAGCATGAGAAGTTTGTGGAGAGCGAGATTGAGAAGGCGGTGTTGAATCGTGCGGTTTTGGAGTGGAATCACGCGCGCTCGGGGGGGCCGGGGCCTTGGGCGAAGGAGCTGGATGATACTATGTTTTGGATGTGAGTTATCTAACTGGGCGACATGTTGGATAAGACGCGCGTTGCATAGTTGGGTTTGGACGGGAAGTCTTCTCTTTTCTTTTGATTGTTGTTTCGAAGTCGTCTCTTTTCTCCCTTATTCAGTTTAGACTACCTTCTCCCTTTCTTGTTCACTATAGGCTGCTGTCTTTCTCCTTTCCGTCGGTAGATTATAATTTTCAAGCTCAATAGAATTCCTGTTTGACACTCTACCACTTCTTTCCATCACATTGATCTGACAACAGCACGGGCGATTCGACATCTGGAAATGATCGGGGTTCCGCATGTTCCCTCAAACAAGTAGATGACTATTGTAAGTGATACAATTGGCTGTTTGTATACATTCACATGCAAATCTTTGTCAGGACCGTGATTTGCAACAAGCGGAGAAGATGGGATCGAAATCTACGACATGCGCATATTGTATTGCATCGAAGACGTGCGAATGACGCAGCAAATCTCATCTCACCATATTCGGTTGTCCTAAACTGCCAACACCGTGGCTACCCCATTCTCGTGACGTGTATATGTATTCCCAAGAATGCGCCGCGGAGCAACCTCACAGGTGCAACGGTACGCTTCGATACCTTGGCATGGTATAGTCAGATGCATCCAATCAATTTGGGGGCGATGCAAATCAAAATCTGTCAATGCCGATTCGCCAGCTGCAATAGCTCCCTTCCTTTACCCAATAACGTGTCTTGTCAAGAAATGCGGCTTTGTGTATCGACAGTGTCAATGGTGTTGTAGTGACGTTTAAGTGATGCCGTCCAATAGGCACAGTTCCGATTCGAGACGCAGTACTAAGCGTGTTCCTAGCCCCAGATCTCCACTACGTCAAGCTACCATCAACCCACATCCACGCACAGACAAACGGCGTTCACCTCCTCACCAATCATCAAAGCCTCATTACTGCACAGCTGAACATGTTGCGATACAATGACGCACAAAGTAAACACTTCCTTTCTCGCAAAATAAAAGCGCCAATGGAAGAAGCCAAGCGGGAGAATCCTATCACATAGCAGACTCACCCCTCCCCCTTGCTCACTCTCAATCAACAAACATATTAAAAGCCCATCTCTGTGCCCCCAATCTGCTACTTTTCTTTCTTGAGAATGTCCTTCCATCGCACTTTTGTATCCTCCATCTCCAGAGCCGCTTTCAGACCTCAGGTCAGCCGTGTCACAGTAAACAACCAATTCGCCTCATTCCGTGCCCGTGTCGCAGCCATGTCGACGATTTCAGAAGCCATCATCAAGGACCACCGTGAGATCGAGTCGTACTACAACGAGGTCATCAACTCAGACGATGTCGACCACAAGACACGATTCGGAAACCAGTTTACTTGGGAGCTTGCCCGACACTCTGTAGCCGAGGAGCTGCTCGTTTACCCTGCCATGGAGAAGTACATTGGCAAGGAGGGTCACGCACACGCTGAGAAGGACCGTCAGCAGCACCACCAGGTTAGTCTACTTATCTTCGCCCAAATCTCCACGTGCATGATTACTAACG